TAGACAGCTATATATATATATATATATATATATATATATGAGAGAGAGAGAAAGAGATCAATAACATGATAGCAATAGCAGCTACGGATGTAGCGGTGCATCGATCGAGCAACGGCAAGCGTACAATCGATCAACTTCCCCACTCGTTGGAGAAAAGGAAGAAGATAGAAGGGGAGCGAGTGATCTTTTCAAAGCGAGTACAAGAAAGGATACAGATGTGTAATGCAGTACTCACGTTTCGTAGTGCATTCCAAGCTGCTTAGCGCATCCATCCCTCCCCCCTCCTCCACCCCCGAGTGCGTCATCCAAACACACCGACAAAAACAAACAAACAGATGAATAGATAACCGAGTGAACTGCACAGGCGAAAAAGAATAACAACAGTGCCCAGAAGAGGAATGAAAAGAGCAGCTTGAAAGAGAGAGAGAGAGAGAACTAGGGAAACGTATTAGACGTGCGCACATCGACGTGAGTCCAAGAGCTGCATCTCTCTTGCGCCGCCGTCTTCATTTTTCCCTCCTCGCGTACCCCATCTCATCTCCTTTCCCTTACCCTTTCTCCGCTGTTTTTGTGTGTTCTGTTTAATCCTCTTCTTGGTCGCCTAACGAGAGGCGGTAGAAGTTAAACATCTCGCGTGCCTGCAGCACCGCCGCGTCCCACTCCCGCTGCGTCTCCGCGCCGGCGCCGTCGCTGCCGGTCACCGCCGTGCCGTAGGCGGCCGCGCTGTGTGGCGTGTCGGCCCCCCCTCGGCCGACATCGGTTGACCCACTGCGCACCATCTGCTGGAATATCTGCAACGCCAGGACGGACCCCGCCTGCGCTGCTTCATCGTCATCTTCGTCTTCTCCTTCTGCCGCTGCGGCGCCGCCTTCCTCGGGGTGCTGCTGTTGAGGCTGCTGGGGCGAGGTCGCTGCAGCAGAATTCATGATCGGGTGCTTCGCGCTATTCGCTGCTGTGAATGCGGGCTGACTTGGCTGCACAGATGCTGCTCCCTCCACCGCCGCCGTTGCTGCTGCTGCTGCTGCGAGGACGGGCCGTTGACTGGCCTCCGGAATGGGCGGGTGATGAATGGGCTCGTCATTGCCGTGCGCCGTTGCCACCGCTCCTGGCACGTTGTTGCTGGCGCCGCTGCTATCCTGCCCGTGGCTGTGGCCGTGGTGCGCGTCGCCGCAGCCACCGCCACTACAGCCATCGCCGCGCGTCACCTGCCAGCGCTGGTGCTCCTCGACGATCTTCTGAAGGTAGGGGCTCATCTGCGGAACGCGGTAGACGAGCTGCGTATACGACGAGGACCACCCCAGAAACTCTCGTACATTCGCCCACGTTCCACGGTCGTAGAGGCTATAGGTGTTGGGCCCAAGGTTGAAGCAGTAAACGCCGCTCTCCGCCTCGGCGTGGTCGACGTCGTAGACGGTTAGGTTGCGCGCAATGAGACGCACTTGGCTGTACAGCGCGTAGACGTCGAGGAGAAGCATCAGCGGCAAGAGGACCTGTGTGTACATGTAGCCGAAGCGCAGCTCAGCCGTGGAGAAGGAGAAGGCCGACAGCTTGCGGAAGACCGCCTGGTCCAGCTTCCCTCCGGCTTTGCCCGACGTGTGCGCGACGCTCTCCACGTGGCTCACCATGCGGCTGTACTCGCGTGCGTAGTGATAATAGCAGCTCATCAGGGCAAGCAGCGACACGTGAAGCCAGAAGAATACTCGCTGATTGCCGCCGCCGATGACGGTGCTGAGGTGGTGGCAGTAGTGATCAAAGCGCAGGACGACGCGCTGCAGCTGCACGCAGTGCTGGGCTCGCAGAGGCTTCTTCACCATGGTGCGCAGGTCAATACCGTACACCAGCTCTTTTGGGTAGGTGCCTTTCGCATTGCGCAGACTGGCGTAGATGCCTTTGCGCTGGCCCTCCGACGTCGTCACCACACCCGGCGATGAGAACACGACCACGTACACCAACAGCACAAAGGTGATGACGGCAGACGGAATCAACCAACACGTGATCGCCGCGTGGTCCTCCAGATCGTAGCTGTAGTACTGGTAGTAGTACCGCGTGGTGAAGAGCGGCAGACACAGGCCTTGCATCACGATGTAGCCAAAGCACCAACCAACACCGCCCAGCGAACGGCTGCGTGGGCGGCGGCGGCGGTGGCGACGCTGCATCTCGACGTACGCGCCGTACAATAGCGGCAGCGGACACAGCAGCAGAAAGAAGTTCGTCAGCACACAGCAGCAAAGGTAGTAGAAGAGGTGTGGGAGAAACACCGCCGCGGCGAAGGGCACGTAGTCTCCCGTCAGCGTGCAGACCTGCCAGAGGTACGGTGCGGCTTCCTCCTCCTGCAGGACCTTCTCTTGCGATACACCGGGAGTGGCGTTGCTGAACGCTGTCAGGAGGGCCCGGACCTTGGTCGGGTTACGCTCGTCGAATTGCTCCCGGCGACGGGCGGCGATGGCGCGAGACGAGCTAGGCCGCAGCAGCATTAACAGCGCCTCTCTCCAGTACTGCCTCACAGACGGCCCGACCTGTGACGACGAGCGTGCGAGCTGCAGCGGCGACACCCCGCTGCCGTTCTCCGCGTGTACGTCAGCACCTTTGCGGAGCAGCGCCCGCACGAGGGCGACGTCGCCGGTGCTCACCGCGCAGTGCAGCGGCGTGTCTCCGCTGTGCGCGACCACGTCCGCCATCTCCGTTGCCGCACTCGTCGTCGGAGTAGTGACAGCGGGAAGAGTACTATTCGTGCTGTTGTGGTTGACTACACCGGAGACAGGAGAGACCCGTCCGGCTGACGCAGCTCCTCGGGGCGAGCGCAGCACCACGTTATTGCCGTTTTGCACAAGGGCGGCCGCCGCACCACTCGCGGTGAGGATCGGCGAGCGGCGGTACGACGGAATCCCGTCGGCACCTAGGCCAGTCATGGGCCCCTGTCCGTTCGGCGTAGCAACCGCAGCACGGCCGCGCTCCACCACCGGGTCATCCCTGGCGTTCACATCCAAGTGCACCTCCTCTATCAAGTACAATGCAGCGTAGGTGTTCCCCACGGTGCGGCACACAACGTGCAGCAACCGCTCTCGTGCCGCACCAGCAACAAACTTTTCCTCGCCCATCCAGACCCGAAAGGCCTCCATCAGCAGCGGGTACCGGGCGGCGTAGGTCAGCACCGTGCGGCCCAGCGCGTCCTGCACGGCGATGTCGGCTCCCTTCGCGAGGAGCAGCTTCGCCGCTTTCGTGTTCTGCCGCGCAGCCGCGACCATCAGCGGTGTCTGCCGCAGCCGATTGCGCATCGGCGCGTTCACGTCAGCGCCGTTGTCGATGAGGAAGCCGAGGATGAGCTGATTCAGACACGGCGGGTTCAACACCCAATCGGTGGCGTGCCGCGCATCGTCCGCCTGCTCTAAGGCGTCCGGCGAGTTGCTGATGAAAGACGCACTTCGACGGGCGATAGAGCCGCTGCTGCTCGCGCTGCCGCCGTCTCCGCTGGCGTGCATACAAAAATCCTCCGGCAACACGTCCAGGGTAGCCGCCGTCGCGATATGCAGGGCGGTGGCACCATCCTCCTCGCGCACCGCGTTGACGGGCACGCCGCTAACTAAAAAGGTGGTGAGAATTGCGAAGTTCTTGTCGTGCAGGAGGCACTCGAAGAAGGACTGGCGATCAACGCGGGTGTGGAGGAGGTCGATGGCTTTGCTGAACTGCAGGGGACCGTGGTCGGGGGTGCTGCCGGCATCCGGCTGAAGGTAGTACGGAAGCGGCAGCGGTCCGCCGTTCTTCTCGATAGCGTCGCGGAAGACTTCCATTACGGAAAGGGAGAAGACCGCACCAACTGAAAAAATAGCAGAAAAATCAATACCCTTGTCAGGGTTGGGTGCAGATGAAATACAAGTGTTGATTCGAAAAGTGTACTGCATTTGCGCCGGACCACAGCGGTGAAGGAAAGGGGCAGAGAGGGAGGGAGGGAGGTGTATGTGGAGTGTGTGGTGTGCCGCTTCGTTTCGGTATTCATTTTCCTTCTTCCTGTTGTCCCTACACGCACCACAAACAGGAGGATCAGTTTAAAAAATAAGTTGCCGGTCAATCGACTCTGAAAGCGGAGTCGGTGCGACGCAGCGCCGTTTGAAAACAGCAACAGCAAACAATAATCATGAAATCAAAAAAAGCCGGTCATAAATCGCTTTCTTCGTCTTTGGCTTCTTGCTGCCGCGCTGTTGAGCGGCGCGCCACCGCCTCAGCTCAGCAAAGTCCATCAACACCACTACCAAAACAGCGAGGTCAGAGCACTTCACTCCTTACTCCGCTGTACGCTGTCGCTTGCGGTCCTGCTGCTCGCCGTCCACCACCACCACCACCGCTGGCGGTGGCACTGCGCCACCTTCACGTAACGACGGCGGCACCACCACCGGCGTCATCAGCGCCGTCGTTGCCGCCTCCCGCTGCCGACGCAGCTCCTCGATTGGCGTCGCATCGTAGGCGTCTAAGTCTTGCGCGATGCACCGCATTTTCGCGAGGCTGCGCGCTAGTTCAACCTTGAGCTCCGCGAGGCGTGTCTGTGACTGGGCAAGACGTGCGTGTAGCACGTCCGGCGCTATCGATGTGCTCAGCTCCTCCGGGCTGAAGAGGCTGTGACCGCTGCCTCCTTGCGGAGATGACGCAGGCTGCGAGCCGGGGACGAGAGGCGAGGCACCGAACACACTTTCTACCAAACTTGAGTCGTTGGTGCTAGACGACGTATCGACGCCAGCATCACTAGTGGCGGTTGCGGCTGCTGGAGCCACCGCCGCTGCTGTCATCGCGCGTGCGCCGTGCAGCTCCAGCGCTTGCTTGTAGCACCCGACTTGCTTTGCCGCTTCTGCGCAGGCCACGAAGTTCGACCAGACAAGCTCGTACAGCAAATGCGAACCACCAACAGGGAGCAGAGGTGCATCGACCAACGCGCGCTGAAGCACCGCCGTCACGGCCGCCGCAGTTACTGCTGCGGTTGCGGCGTTAGCGCTGTTCGGTGGCGCATCAGCGTGAAGGAGGACGTCCCGCTGGTCAGGATCGAGGGTGGTGGGGACGCCGCCGACGCCGCCGGTCAAGCGCAGTGATCGCGGTGTTTCGTGGATGAGAAACGGATTGTGCGCGACCCGCTCGAGCACAAACGAGGCGAAGCCGGACGTACTCGTCGACGGTGCTGCCGCCGCTTTAGAAGAAAAGGGGGACGTGCGAGGCGGCATGGAAGGGTCTCGCTTACAACGCGTCTCCTACGAAAACAACAGTAATAATAATGATAAACCCTGATGTCAGAAATGAATACGTTGACGATGCTTTCTTCTTCAGAAACGATTTGAACGCGTTTACGAGATGGTCAACAGATTGTTTTCGTTAAGGGAGGGGGAGGAGGAGGAGGAGGAGAATAAAAAAATGAAAGGAGACAGAAAGCATAAGTTTGTGTGGTTGCATACATACGCACCTGCAACGATCTGCTCCGCCCGCAACAGCAACGTTGTCGCGGTGAGCGCGGGTTCACGTCGGGGGCCAAGTCAGACGTTCAGCGGAAAGACACACACACACACACAGAGGAGAACCCACCAATAATTTGCCTTCTTTCGCTTGACATCGCCTCTCAACGAGCAACAAATACTCGCAGTGAATATAGACTAAAAAACCCCTTTGCCTTCTTTCTTATAGGCGCGCGCCGCTTCTATGGTGTAGAGGTGCCACAGTGCCTTCATATGACTTTCCGAAGCAGGGAGGCGAGATCGAAGGGAAATGAGAAAAAAAAAACAAGGAGACACGCGTCTTCTCTATCGTAAAGGAACGATGAACCACACGTCGATACATATACATATGCGCGTGTGTTCCACCCCCCGCAAAGGAGGAAAAACCATGACTACATAGGGCGAGAGAGCGCGCGGTCGACCTTCGACTCGACTAACAACCGCAAAAACAATTACCACGAAAAATACTAATTCAAGGGGATGCGTGGGAATGGCAAGAATGAAAGAAGAAACAGGTAAAAACACCAAAGATGAGGATCTACATGCTGCCGAACGTCTTCTTCGTTCACGCGCACGGGACTGGAGGAGAGCGGTGGCGACGGCTTCCACGAAGCCATGAAAGAACGTGAAGAAAGAAAAAGGAAGGTAAAGGCCCAAAGCCATTCGGCACGGAAAAAGGAATCCCACAAAGAATGGCAAAAACAGAAGAAAAGAGTCGTTGCATCACCGCATTTCTCTGTTTCACGCACGCACGCGCGCACGCACAGGAAACCAACAATAACAACATCTTCTCTTCAAGCCTTCTCGGGCTCTTGCTCACGCATCTGCTGCGCGCCTGCCGTCGCGGCGGCGTGCATCTGCGACCGGAAAAATAACGTCCCCTGCAGCAGCGAAACAAACCGCAGCGGGACCGTCACGTTCACCAGCACTGTTTGCGGCCACACCCGTTCCTCCAGCGATCGCGGTGTCGCCTCCGTCTCTGCCGGAGTGGCGAAGGTCGGCCCCGCCTTCTTGCTGCGTCTCCCCGCGCCGTCGCTACCATGTACGTCGTCGTGCGTTGGACTCTCCGCCGCCGTGGGCTCATCGTGACTCTCCGCCTCTGCCGCCGCCGTAGCGCCGCCGCGCTCGTCCAACCCGTGCGGTGCCTCGTCCTCCTCCAAGGACCTCTGCGGGGTGAAAATGTGCTGCGCCTCCGCTGCGCGCTTCGCCCACGCGTCCAACTCCGCCGGCGTCAGCGCCCCGTCGATGCTCCGGCCGCCGGTGCCGGGGGGTCGCTGAAAGGACTGCGGAATGCTTTTCGGCGCCAGCAAGGCCAACATCGCCACGCACGTCTGCCCGGTCATGCGTTGAATGGCGGACCCGAAGAGACGGCGCATATCCACGTTGTGTTCCAGCTGCGCTGCCGAGGCCGTCGTCTGTGGTCGCGGTGGCTCGGCGGACGCGGAAGAAGAGGCAGCGCTGTGCGCGTTGGTAGAGTTCCCCGATTTCCACGGAAGGTGCAACCGGTGGCCACTTCCATTGCTGGCGCTGGTACTCGCCGCCTCCGCTGCGCTCCGCAGCCCGACCGGTTCACACAGTTTATAAAAGACCGGCGCAACAAACTCCCGCACGGCCGTCTCGGTACACCGCAGCTCCACCGTGTTCAGCAGCAGCACGGCGCCACAGCGCTGCACCAGCGAGGTGGTGCGCAGATAACGCGACAACGCCTCAGAGAAGGCGTCCTCGTCCTCCAGGGAGAGCGCCACATCCTCCCCACCCCCGCCGCTGCGTGCGTCTTTCCCCGCCGTCGTCGCCGTCGTCACACCGTCGACCTGCGACGCCGGCGGCGGTGGCGCGTGCAGCATTGCCCGCACTGTTTCGAGAAAGCAACGCCGTCGCGACCCCTCGATGTCGCGGGTGATGCGACGTGCCAGGTCGTAGCCGCCACCCTTCGCGGTGAGGATGATAAGCTTCAGCTTCCACGCCTGCTCGAAGAAGTCCGCCGGGATGAGCTGTGCGCCGAGGGTGGCGGGGACGGCGCACGATTGGGTGTAGATGGCCAGCGCCAGCTCGAGTGGATTGTAGCGCGCTGTTCTCTTGCTGCCGTTTCCGCCGAACGCGCTCTTCTCCTCCTCCTCCTCCTCCTCCGCACCGCCGTTGGCAGGAGCGGAGACGTCGACGCCATGGCTCAGCAGCAGCAGCAGCGACGGCGCATCACGAAGCGTGGACAGCGGCAGCAGCGGGACCGCGCGCAGCACCAACTGCGCAAGATTCGCCGCGTCACACGTCGTGCCGCGCCGCTTCAGTGCTGCCGCCTGCAGCGCGCTACCCGTGCTGTAATTGCTTTTTACATTTTGTGGGTCTAACGGAGAGCCGTCCGTCGCGACGTTGCCGTTAAACCCAGACTGACGCCACCGAGGCAGCTGCGCCACGGCGTTGTCGGCCTGGGAGGAGGCGAACGCGCTCGCCGGCACTGCATGGGGGACGACCGCGCGGTGGTCGGACCGGCTCACGTCCTCGGCGCTGGCCGACGTCGTCGCGGTGGCGGTGGTGGTGCTGCCTTTGATGCTCGTCTTCGAGACCGTCGAGGGGCTGATGTGGCCGTATGAAATCATGGAGAGGAAAGCTTCATCCGATGTCATCATTGCCTCGCCGTCGTCGTCACCGTGCTTTGCGTCATCTTCTTCGTCATCTTGACGGGGGCCATGCTGTACGCCACCGTTGGCATCCGGTAACGGCGGCGGACCCCCCACGAGAGCTGCGGTGGAGCCGGGAGGATGCAGCGCGTTGTCCTTCAGCTGCCTACTCGGCCCCTGTGCCGCAACCGTCGCAGCGGATGCAGCTGCGTTTGCCTCCGAAATGAGCTGACCCCATCGCTGCTCTGCCATCGCCTTCCACACCGCCGCCTCCAGCTCCCACAGGTCCACGTACACGAAGTTGCTCGCGGGCAGCGAAGCGTTTGAGGTGCCGGCAGACGCCGCTGCGGGGTCCACATGTTTCGAACCGGAGAGAGACACACTGGCCGCGCTGCTCGCGCTCAGCGGCGGCGGCGGCGTCACATCGCGCACCGTTGAGTAGTTGTTCGTAAAGAGCGACAGATTGGCAAGGCGAAAGTCAATGGGGAGTTTGCTGTACGCGTACCAGCCCAGCAGCGGCGCCACACCAATGCTGGACGACTTCTCAATCACGGGGAACCCGGCGACGTTGATGCTCAAGACGACTGAGCTGCAGGACAAGACACGCACCTGTGCCGCTGCGGCGATGACGAGGCAGCGGTGGCAGTTGGAGAGGGACACTGCACCGGCGGTAGGGGCTAGCACGATCATGGCGTCACAGCAGTCACTCAAATCGACACCGCTGAGGTACTCGAAGACGCAACAGCAGCGGGAGCGCAGCTTGTGGATCCACATGTGTTTCCCTCGGTACACGTCGCCGCGGCAGATGATGGGGTGCCGCCGTGCCTCGTCTCCCTCGATGTTGATGTGACGTGCACCCATTACGCGGATTTCGCTGGCGTCTCTCTGTCCAGCGGGCTGCTGTTGTGGCGATGATGCCCCTGCTGCTGCTGCTGCGGCGGCGGTCGCTTGGGGCTTCCCATATACGTTGGAGCTCGCCGCTGTCGCAGTGATAACAGGGTCATTTGCGGTGGCGTGCGCCTTGCTTTTCTTCGCTATACGTGCATCGTCGTCCTTCACGAGGGGTGGCACGACACGGAGGTCATCGCCAACATCTTTACCACCGTCTGGAGGAGAAGAGGGCCCCGCAGGAGCTGGTGCGGCGGCGTAGGGTCCGATTATGCACGCGGCCTCCCCCAACACACCCCACAGCTGTTGAAAAGCTGTGTTGCTGTTCCGCAGTTCGCGCATCTTGTCCACAGTGAGCAGCGGCGTCGGTTTCAGGTACGGGATGGCGTACGTGCTGCGCAGCCATAGGTAGGAGCTGCCCTGTTTCAGGCGTGCCAACACGCTGTCGTACGCCGGCCCCTGCGCCTCGCTCGACATGATCGGATTATTTTGCGGTGCCTCCTCTTCCTCGGCCTTCTTGTTGGACGTGACGGTGTGATGCAACGATAGCTTCTGGTTCTCCAACAGCCTCCCTCGCGGAGTGTCGGGTGTAGCGTTGGACCCGTCGTGACACGACTGCTGCTGCTGCTGCGGCGGCGGCGGTGGCGAGGCAGCGCAGGTAGTTGTTTCCTCTGCTTGTGCAGCGGTGCCGCCACCGTGGACTCGACGGTGCTTCCACCGTCTTGTCTTTCGTTCGGAGGTCTCCGTAGCGTCTTCTAATTGCTGGGGCGGCAGAGGCGGCGTGGGAGGCGGGGGCTCCTGCTGCGATGACGCGTCGACGCGTCCGTCGACTCTTCGCTCCGCCACGTCTCCGCCTGCCTTCTCTGAACAGGCACCCATGCTTTGTATTAGATGAGTATTGGTATTTAAGGTACTTTTGCTTTTTAATGAGGCTATCGGGAACACCCTTGTTTTAGATATAAAATATTCGCGCGCTGCGCTTCGGTGTATCTACTTACCGTTGCTTTCTCCTCCCTCCCTTTTAAACGGCTGCCGCGACGTCCCCGTCGCTCGTCGTATGCTGGAGAGAGAGAGAGGAGAGGTGGTGGCGGTCGTGGTGGTGGTGTGCGGAGCTGCACATCAACGTTTTTTTTTAAACCACCACAACAAAGGACAGCCTTCTGTACTGCCGACGGTCACACACAAGAGAGAATTATAAAACAGAGAACATATAGAAAGCAGGAGAGCACTGATCCACGACTGAGCGTGTATTTCGCATGGGTGTGTGTGTGGGTGTGTGAGTGTATGCTCGACGGTGCAGGCGGCTTTACGCAGGCATCAACGCACAGAAGAGACCGCAGCGAGAAAAAAAACACAAAAAGGACCTCGGTGCGGCGGCGTTGATGAATGCATATATATATGTATATGTATGTATGTATTGGGAGGTTTGTTGATCCCTTATGATCTGCCCGTCTGGAGTGAAGAGAAACGCGTGGAGGAGATGTAGCGGAAGATCAAAATGAGGAGAGGTAATCATAGTAACGGTAGTAGGAGTAGTGCGCTAGAGCAGCTGCACGGTGTGTCGTCTTCGCCACAGGGGAGGACAGCTCACTTCGCACAACAAATAAGCAGTCCCCCTCTCCCTCCTACGACGTTAAGTCGAGGTGTCCCCCTCTTCGGTAATAAGATGGCTGCTACCCGCTCGTACGTCGAGCCACCGCGCAGAGAACCGAGAAAAGAAAAAAATATACATAAAGCTGTGTAGGAGGGCGCGAGACGTGTGCCCCGGCGCACCCACACGCCCTTACGGAACGAAGAACTGGGGGCTTCTTCCACCTGTTTCAGTTACCCGTCTCGCAAACAATGCACCAAAGAAGCACGACATCGTGTCGCTGCCGTAAAGATCAAATCAAAACAGAACAAGAAAAAACTCCAAACAACACCGACAACAAAGAAGTGGAGGAGATAATAATAACGACGAATAGGAAGAAAGGGAAGCGGATAACAACGGTAAAGGCATTCACCATTACAGAGGAAAAAAAATTGGGAGGAAATGGAAAGGTAGAGCTTGCTCTCACAGCAGTACTCGAAGTATACATACATATATATATATATATATACATATATAAAGGAAGAAGGACGTGACAAAATCCCTTTGCTGTGGAGGACGGCGGTCGCCCTTCCTTGCGTCGTCATCACGCAGCAGGCGTGGAGAAAAAACAAGCAAACATCCACACAAACAAAAGAAACGGAGGTGGTGGCCGTGGTGGGAGCCAACGACAGCGACGACAGAACAACCCCCCCCCCCCCGTCCACGCATCAACGGTGGTGAAAAAGGAGGGGAGTCCAACAACACACAAACGGCAAAACTGGAGGAGAGAAAATAAAAGAAGAGGAAACACCCGAACAACTTCGACTCCCACCGCGACGACAGCTGCAGCAGCAGCAGCAGCAGCCCTTGCTGCTTTTTTTGCTGGTGTTGATTTTGTTCCTTTGCACAATTCGCGCAGAGTTTGACCTCTCCGGAAATGTCGGGGGGAAGGGAGGAGGGAGGAGGGGAGAGAGAAGAGAGCAAATTATATATATGTCTATATACATATATATATGTGTGTAGCGGAAGACGTCAGCAAGAGACGCAGAACTGGCGTAGCATCCGTTTGACTCTCTCTCTCTGCATGTATATAACGCCACAAAGGTGCAAAGGATGAGCAGAGAAGCTCACCTGTCCATCAGAAGGGTGAAATGCGCTTCAAAGAAGAAGAAAAGACAAAACACGAATTAACAGCACATAATCGTTGATCTGACAGAGTACGACGCCTCACAGGTGCATGCAGAGCAAGCAACGACAACGACACACACAACCGCGGCTCCCATTGAGACATCTACATCAGCGCGCATTCCTCGTCGCGCTGCGGCCGTGCAGAGGGGCGGTGCAGCCGTGACCTTGACTTCTGCGCCTTACCCTGCTGTTGTACAACGTCCTGTGGCCTTAGTAGCGGCGGCACATTCGGAGTTGTGGAGCGCCCCATCTGTGAGTACGGCTGCTGCTGCTGCTGATGCTGTTGATGCTGGACATCTCCAGGGAGCGAGCTCGGCATGCTCAGGAAGGGTTGGTGTTGCTGCGGCATTTGCTGACACTGCGACATCGACGGTGACGCTACTGGCCCACCAGCTGAGAGGAAGCTGTGCATGCTAGACTGCCGTTCTGGGTAGGGGGAGCGGTAGCCGCTGTGCTGCGTAAAAGGGGAGCCGAGGGGGTTGTCGCCAACGCTGGCGTACAGGCGACCATCCCCACCGCCACTGCCGTACATGCTGTAGCTTGAATTGGTGGAACGGAGAAGAGCGGTGTTGCCGAGAGGAGACTGGGTCCCGGTGGGTGCGTTGCCGACCACACGAGGCATCGGGACTTCCTGCTGCTGCTGCTGCTGGGACTGCCAAGGCGCACCCGTGCTGTTGCCGCCACCACTACCATTACCATTACCATTACCACCACTACTACGGATGCGCTGGATTGTCTTCAAGTTGCTCAGGAACTGCAGAAGACTGACGTAGCCCGTGTGGCGCTCGTCGCACAAGTGGAAGTAGCGCATCGCCTCCTCCGGCGTGCCGGCGTACCCGTTCGTCAAGCAGAGCGCGCAGAATTCGTTCGCGTCGATGATGCCGTTGTATTCGGGATCGGCGGAGCGAAACTGAAGAATCGCGTCCGTGTACTCGAACTCGGTCAGGCCAAAGAGCACGCTGGGGTCGGGGCGGTTGTGGCTTAGCCACAGCAAAAAGGCGTCCTGTGTGACGTAGCCCAGGCGGTCGCCGTCCATGGCGCGGAAGACCACCTTCACGTCCTCCTCGCGCTGCACAAAGTTCATGCAGAAGCACAGGTCACGCAGCTGCTGCTGGTTCAGCCGGCCGGTGCCTTCGTCAAACATAACGAAGAGGCCCACCAACTGGTCATACTCGAGCTGGGTGAGGCCGTAGTACCGCCACGGCTCTGCCGTGCGCAGCGCGGAGTCCGGCGCGGTTGGTCCTGAGGTGCCCGTTGCCGGCGACGGTGCAGATCCCTGTGCGGCGGATGCGGGAGGGGCAACGACGTGTAATTCAGGATAGAGCGGCGTCGTCAGCGCTGCGGTGTGGGGCGTTCCTCCGGCCTCTCCTTCTCCCCCGGTTTCTTCGACCGTCTGCACCCTTGATCGTGTGCGAAACGTGGTCGAGGTTGGGTCATCCTCGATTGCAGCAAAGGCCCCTTCGATCTCCTGCACCGCCCGCCGCGGCCCGCGCGGGGCTGGCGGTGCGACCGCCAAGTCTTCTGCCCGCGAGGATGAGCCGGAGGCGCGCCGGGGTGCCTGCGCTCTCGACGGCGATGGCGCGGTGGACGTCCCGACGTTGAGCTCTACGGTGGCCGATGACGAGGTGACGAGTTGCGGCGATGACGGCACCACTGCTGCTGCAGCCGCTGCTTCCTCCAGCGCCTTCTGTTTTGTGCCTTCCGGGCACTCGTGGTGTGCGGAGGCCGCACGGGAGCAGCGCTGCCCGCAGTACCGGCACTCCACCTCCACCTCCAGCACGGTGTTCAGCAACATGCGATTTGGCTTCTTCTCGCTCTGCACGACTGTGTGGCACTGCGGGCACTGAAAGTTCTCCATGATCATCGGCTGTGCCGCGTGCTGGGCGCGTGCCGCGCGGACGCAGGCGTGGCAGAAGATATCGCCACACGGCACGAGCTCCACCGGGTCAGCCCAGGAGTCATGGCAGAGCGGACAGAGGAAGAGGGGGTCGATGTCCTGCCCGGGCACCATCGTAAATTGCCGCGGTGGGAGTGAAGACGACATTTTGTTGCTGTTTGTTTCAACTGAAGGATGCCGATCTGACGCGCCAATAATAATAATAATAGTAAAGCTAATATGACAGACGATCAAGAGAGAGAAACAAAAACAAGCTATCCCACGGTGGGCAGGCGTGCGTGGCTGCTTCGGTGAGGGAGTAGCTTTCGGAATTCGCTTGTGGGACTCGAATCATACACGGAAACGCGAGAAGGCGCGCGCGTCGCTCTCTCCCTCTGCCAGAAAGAGAATTGTCAACGGAAGAGTCAGCGCAAAGACAGACCACCACCAACGACGACGACGACGACGACAGCAGAAAAAAAGGGAGAAGTGGCTGCGGTGCAACGCTAGAGATGCAGAGATGCAACACAGCAACGACAAAAGAAAAACAGAGAACAAAGCGGGTATGCCGCTTAAACAGGTACTAGGTAAAAAAAGAGAAGAAAAAGTTCGCTATGCTCTACAGGTCCAAATAATAATGGTAATTCGTGTACGCATCACAATTCAGCATCTTCGTCGCCGCCGGATCAGCAAGGCTCTCTCTCTCTCTCTCCCCGCTGGCGACAAACACGATGGACGCACCTTTTCTTTTTTTTTGCTAGTAAGATGAAGTGGCTAGAATAGAATAGAGTAGAAGGAGAGGGGAATACAACAGAGCATGCATGAGGTGAGATCAGCAGGGAAAACAGAAGCGAGGCCGTGCTTTGTCGAAGTCCCTTTCTTTTTCCTTTCATTAGTCTTTTGTTCGGTAGCGTACTGCAAGAAGTTGTGCTAGACCCGCTGAGCGAGAGCCGGACAAGAACAGCAGCGAGGAAGTGATGGCGGAGGAAGGCACGTTATTATTATTATTATTATTACTATTTGTGCTTTTCACTTTCTACAGCATCGGTATCGAGAAACTTCGAAGTACATACAAAAGAGGAAGGGCAAAGCATAACACGACGGGACACGCTGCGAAGTCCGTCCAAGGGCAACGAGAGAGGACCAGCACAACGCCGTTTTCTTGTTTCTTTCTTCACGACGGCGGATAGCATTAAACCACCCACACAGGAACAACAGCGGGCCGACCGACAAATACATAGCGAAGACGCGGAGGGAGCCGCGAGGCACATCGGACGGCGCGTCCGTCAACAGCGAAAAACACAAAGAAAAAAAGGTGAGGAAGAGAGTGCCAACACCGTAAAACGGTACACGAATACATGCGGTGCTGGGTGCGTCAAAAGCACGTGCTGGAAAGAAGAAGCCGATGGCGCTCTCTGTGGATTGAGAAACACTAGCTTTGTACATCTGCCGATCACCCACAAAAGAAAAGGAAGAAGAGAAGAGAAGTGAGGAGCCACAATAGCCAAAGAGGGAGGGGGAGGGGGAAAGGATTCTATGATGAGCACCGGACAACACCGATACGCCCCCACCCTCCGAAAACGAACGAAGAGTCCAATATCCAATATATCCAATATATATACGTCTAGGGCCGAAGCATGGAATACGCAACATCCATCACATCTTCCTCTATACGCGGGTAGGTGGCGTGATGCGCCAGCACCTGCTTGCACACATCAATCGCCTTCACCGGCTCATTGCCGCGGAGGTAGTTGAAGCCAAGCTTGTACCCCACCGCGGGATCCGCCTCCTGCAGGAGCACCCACGCCTTCTGGTAGCACTCCGACGCGTCCTTGTGCTTCTGCTGGCGCTCGTACAACATGCCCAGCGCATCCCAGGCGGCACCGCAGCCCTTGTTCGCCGCCAGCACCTGCAGGAGCATAAAACGCGCGCTCCCCAGCTGGTTGGATTGGGCGTCCATATACGCGTGCAGCAGCATCGCCCGCTCGAGCGAGTCGTCCTCTGAGCACGTCAGCAGCGCGGCGGGCGCCGTGACGGGCGGGGGTGTGGCAGCTGCAGGGGGTGTGTCACTGGGAGCTTTGTTGGCGGCTGTTTTGCCGTTGGCAGGCGCCGGCGCCACGGCTGGTTTGTCCGGCACGGTCGGCGGGGTCAGCGGGACCTTCGCCTCCTCCAGTACACGTCCGAGCACGTTGCGTGCTGCCGTCTCCTGGTTGGATACGAACAGGTTGATCGCCAGACCCAAGAACGCCGTCGGCTCCACCGTTTTGCTCTGCAGGGCGAAGGCCAGCGTCGCGGTGGTGTTTGTGTTGCTGCGGTGCGCCATGCTCGCCGCCGCTGAGTGCATCTGTGCCAGCAGCTGGAGGTCCTCGTCGTCCTCGTCGTCGTCCCTCGTTCCCTTCTTCGACTTTGGCTTTCCGACTGCGTTGCTCTGCGATGACGCACCACCACCACCACCGCCGTCGCGGCGCTCAACCGTGTCGGCGCCCGTCTCCGCTGCCACGATGCACTCCAGAAAAAGATGCATCGAGGTCTGCAGCTCCTCCGGACGCTGCGTGGCCATGGTGCAGTACGCCTGCAGCACCCGACGCTGATCGCTCTGCACCGGCAGCAGCAACAAGAGCTGCTCCGCGTAGCGGATGTTGTCGTGCAGTTCCCCACCACCACCACCACCACCACCGGCGGGTGTAGATGGAGTGGCGGGGTTCGCCGTCGAGCCTTTCTCTTTGCCGTTCAACTGTGTGGGGCCGTTGTGGCGCAGGTTAGCGGCCTTACTTCCGCTGTCGCGCACCCATAAGTCTTGTGTCGTGGGGACCAGGTAGATCCAAATCATGCGCACCAGCGCCCGCTCGCACCACGGGTTGTCCGCCGGCAGACGTGCGAGGTTGAAGTGACGCAGCGCTTCGGCGTTGTTGCTCCGTAGGTGTTCGTACAAGCCGCGGGCGTAGCTCAGCCCGGGATCGGCGCGCTGGCCCTGCGGAATGGCCGCGGCTGCCTTGTCCAGGGCCGACTTTGCATTCTCCACGCGTCCGGCGTGGTGCAAAAGCACAATGAAGTCCACCAACGCCTCGTAGTGCTGCGGGGTGCTGTTGAGCAGGTTCTCAAACAGGCTAATCGCGTCCTCCATGCGGCCTTGCTGGGTGTACAGGTTCGCCAGGAGCGTCGCTGCCTCCTCGGCGCTGGCGCTGCCGCCCGCCATGCGCAGCAGCGTCGTGCAGTGCCGCTCACAGCCGTCGACGTCGCCGATGCGGCGGCACAGCAGCGCCGACTGAAGTTGTGCCCGCTCGTTCGACTCATCGTAGGTGATCGCCTCCTGCAGGAAATCCTTGCCCTGTGTCAGGCGCACCGCCAGGGCCGACTGCAGGGCCACCGCGGCGGCCGCCTCCACCTTCTTGTCGCTCATGAGCAGCGCCGCCGGCGGCGGGGTGGGCCGATTGTGGATGCACCGCGTGCCGAGCTCCGTGCAGATAGACGCCATCACTACCCGCTGCTCTGCCACCACCTCGACCGTCTCACCGCGGAGTTGATGCTCGAGAAGGTTCTTCTGCAGGTCGCGCGCGGTGAGGAGGGCTGCCAAGGCGACATCCCCCGCCTTTCCCGCGTCATCGCCGTCATCACTCGCGTCCTGTTTGTCTTTAATGCCGGTGCTGGCATTGTTATTCTTGTCGCCGCCGCCGCCGTTCGGCCGAGTTGAGTTCATGGGCAGCATCCAGTGCTGATCTCGCAGCACCTTGTACAGCAAAAGGTACAAGTTCACCCGCTCAATCGCCGTCGCGACGCTTTCTTCGGTCGGGCCCACACCCGCCGTCCCCGCAGCTGTGTCGATCGCAGTGGGAGCGGCAGTGGGAGCGGCAGCAGCAGCAGCAGCAGCAGGCTGCTCGTACACCGGAGACTGCGTGATGACCTCCCGTGCATCGTCCACGCGGCCCAGGCGCCACATGAGGGTCGCGAGGTCGGCCCGCACCGTGGAAAGGTGCGGATCGGCGCTCAGCGCTTCCTGGTAGTACCGAATAGCCTTGGCGTAGTCGTGGGAGGCGACCAGCGCACGACCGACCCGCACGGACAGCTCGCTGCTGGCCGGCGACAGGGCCTTCGCCTTCTCATAGGCAGCGATCGCCTGCTCCGGCTCCTGAATCGTGTTGTACGCCTCCCCCAGCTCCACGTAGCTCTGCGCCGACGGCACCGCCTCGGCCATCTCCTGAAAGCTTTGGATGTAGAGGGATACATTGTGCTTCTGCGTGAGAAAGAGCTTGCCCAGCTGCGAGTGGGCGGAGATGTAGTACTCGCTCGTGCTGGGCACCTGGCGCAGCAGCTCGATACTCTTGTCCACGTCGGTGCGGGCAGCGAGCATCGCTTGGGCAATGGCGACTCGACCGGCCTGGGTGGAGTCGCGGAACTGCACGGCGGCTTCGGCGAGCGTCGTGCGGGCCGCGTCGACGTCGCGAGCGCGCAGGTACGCCTGGGCCAGCTGCAGGTACAGCGTCACCCTCTCTGGCACACTCAGGGGTTGGATAGGCTTTCCGGAGGAGGCCGTCGACGTGCCGCTCTTCACCGTGTCGAAGGCACGCTTGAGCGACTCGAGCGACTCCGCCGACTTCCCCGTCGTGCCCTGCACGGTGCCGAGGAGGAGGTTGTAGAGGGGCTGCTCCTGCAGCGTGAAGTCGAGGGTGAGGGCCTGCTCCAGCGCACGGCTGGCCAGCTTCACGTCCCCTGTGTACTGACAGATCTGACTGGAGAGCAGGAACGCCTCCGGCAAGGGCTGCTCCTGCACAATCAGTGTCGTCTTCAGCAGCTGCTGCGACCGGCGCACGTCACCCGTGACGAAGCACACCTTCGCCAGCATCAGCTGCGCCTCCATGCAGGCAGGCAGGTGCTGCACAAGAAACTCCAGGTGCCGCGCGCACTTCTCGCCGACCACGTCGGTGGTGCGGAACATCGGGTCCGGCGGTTCGTTGCGACAGTGCAGGAGATACTCGTGGGCAACGGCCAGCGACACGGGGGCGTTCAGGTAGACGTACTCCTCCATGCCAGAACCCGCGTGGGAGCCCACGTCGTGCTTGATCGCCTCTGCTGCCTGGTCCAGCAGCCGCAACACCGCCGCCGTCTCTTCCATCCCACGACGCCGCCAGCGCAGCTGCGCGTTCAGCAGACTCAGCTCCGCATTGCGCTGATTCGCCGGCTGCAGCTCGTTGCAAAAGGCCAGCTGCTTGCTCGCCTCCTCGAAGTCGCCTTGCTGCATGAGACACACCACCGCCCCCAGCAGCGGGGCTAGGCTGTCGGTGAGGGTCGAGGCCTTGCGGAACGTCGCAGCGGCCGCCTTGTAGTCGTGCTTGTAAAGCTGCTGGTAGCCCAACCCGCACAGCGCGTCGCCGTTGCGGCTCTCCAGGCTGCACGCCAGCTCCGAGAACTGCGTCGTGATGTTCAGCAAGTCCAGCCGATCCCCGGCGAGGCGAGAGAAGACGAGGGCGAATTGGTGCTGCAGCGCGGCGTTGCGGGGTTCTTTGGCCCTCACCGCCTCCAGCAGCCGCCGCAGCCGCAGCGTGGCAGCCTCATAACGGGTGTCCTTCACCAGCGCGTAAAGAGCCTCCAAGGTCAGCATCTCCACGTTGTCCTTATCACGCGACAGAATGCGACGCGTGACGTCGATCGCCTGCTCCCAGTCCTCCGCCTGCATGAGCAGCCGCGCCTTCCCCACCAGCGGCGGCACGCTGCAATTTGGGTAGAGGACGACGAGGCGGTCAAGCATGCTCTGCGCCTTCGTCAGCTGCATCTTGCGCTCCAAGTACGCGACGTAGCCGAGAGCGGCGTTTAGGTCCGTCCACTTCAGGGACCCGCTCGGACTTGCAGGCGTACTGCTATCCCGCCCGCCACCGCCACCGCCACCGCCGCCGCTGCTGCCTCCCTGCTCGCCGAGCGCGTCGCCAGCTGCGCTGTGCCCCGCGTCGAAGAAGGCGTGCTCCGCCTCCTCGGCCTCGAGCATCTTCTGGAACGTCGTGCCGGCCTTTTCAAGCAGTGCCCCCCGCCCCGAGAGGAGGTCGATCCACGCACGAGTCGTGCCGTAGTTCGTGTACTCATCGCGGTACGCCATCGCTGCTTCCACGTCCGTGAACTTCAGCAGCAGATCCCGTGCCGCATTGATGTCGCCGGCCGCCCAGCACAACGCCGCCGCCTGCACCCAACCACCCATGTTCTCCATCACCTCATACTTGTCCAGCTTCGCCTCCGTCTGCGCGACGCCCTCCTGGTCGCGGTTGCGCTTGTAAATCAACTGCATGCCCATGAGCGCCGGCACGGCGGTAAAGCGGCGCGACTCGGCATTCTTGTACTCGCGCAGTGCATCGTTCGCCATGCCCTGCTGGTCCAACGTCAGCGCACGCCACACGCGGAACATGTGGTCATCCGTGGCCTGGATTGTGGCGAGGCAGACCTCCTCGGCATGGTGCCAGTACTTCTCCCTCACGTAGAAGAGAAGGAGGGCGTAGTTGGTGCGTGTGATGCTGTCGCCCATCGTGCTCGATGCGGAAGAGGTATAATATGCGTATGTGTGTCACTAAACAACAACAAAAAATCAAACGACCACGTGTGTTTATTCTTCTCTTTCTTTTATCCCCTTCCGTTACGCTTGTTGTAGGAGGGTACGGAAGCAGAAGAAGGGAAAGACACACACACACACACACATGCGCAGTGGGGTTGCTCAAGTGCCAGATGTTGTGTACCTCCAGCCAGTGGATGTAAAAAAGAAGAAGAAAAGTATGTACCGTGTGTGCGTGTGATACCTTTGATTGTCCGAAGCTGTCGGTCGCTGCCGCTTTGGCTTGCCTTTTGAACTGCTTCTTCTCGCTCTGACTACAATCACGTTGGTTGTGGTGTGTGGGAGCGCGAAGTGTAAGACGAAAAGAGAAGAGAGAAAGGAAGGAGCCAAAAGGGTCGATAAGGGTGATGGGGTCATCGCATCGTCGAAGGCGCGGAACGGGTCCGTTTGAAGGGAGAGGTGGAGAACATATCCTCCCTTTCCCTCCCCTTCAGCAGCGGTAACACGGGAGCATGCACAGCTGAGCCGTATGAAGCGATTATTATTATTTTAACAACTATTATTGTTTCTTTCTTGGATGAATAAGACGCCATTGCCAACGCTATCATTGACAGCTGCCACCATAAACGATGGAAATATTGAAGCAGCAAGCTTGAGAAGCCGATCCCACAAACACGCGCGCACGCAAGTCCGCCTTTTCGTCAGCCACAAATGAACTTGAAACGGAACTTGAAGCAATCAGTCACGTACGATCGTCAGATTGAAGGGCTAACTTCATAATGCTAAGGTGTAGGTCGCGCGTGATGCGACCTA